TAACTTTTATATTATAATTTCTTGGTTCTAAATAATGGCTCAACATTGTGTTTACACTGATCGAACAATAAAGAAATATGATGCGTAGAGTTTGAACTATCTGGAATAATCTCTCCATTGATTATATTGTCAGTGGTTGAGTACCACCTTTTGAACCTTTGTCACTCCTACAGCGAACAAATTGTCCAATCAAATTTTGTGGCAGAAAGATTTAAGTTATAAATCACTGTTTAAAATATTAAATTTGCTCAAAATATCTATGGAAAAAATTTTGTCAAGGGAAGACAACAAAATCTGGCTAGACAAAAAATTTATAAGTATCAACAATTAAGCATAAAAGCAAATGATTTAGACATCTGATTTTCCTTTTTTTGAAAACTTAAAATTTGATAAGGATGTTGGATTAATAAAATTTCTTATTATATTCCATTTTTATTCAGCTTGGCGAAAAAGATGACTGTCATGCTGAAGTTTGTCACCTGATTGAGACTGATGGGATGCATTATAGAAATAGCAGTGGGAGTTTATCGGTCGAGTGGCACCGGTTCTGTTTAATTGTATTAGAAAATGACTTAAAAGAGATGTAACAGCAAAATAACATTAAACTAATCGCTTAGTGGGCTTTAGTAGCAATAAAAGTTGATAGGTGCATTTAAATGGTGAAAGTTGCGTTATTTGGCACGAATTTGTAGAAGTGAAGGGAGGGATTTCAAAGCAGTTGAAAGACAGTGTCTAAGACGAATGGTGTAGAATTACCACTTTTCAGAGAAACGGAAGAAAGATCATAATGTGAAGACCGCTGAAAAATGATTTCAGGATGATAAAAGAAAAACGATAAAATGGGAGGTGTCATAAAAACGACTTTTTACTTGTATCGAGTAAAATAAAGGATCGGGTATTTGCTATTATAATAGAGTAGATTTAAATATATATATATATATATATATATATATACACATATACATACATACACACATAAAGACTATGAAACAGGAATTGTAAGGATTGAATCTGGCTAGAATATGTTCCTCCTGATGCTCGACATTTTCTCTCATCTTTTCTCTCCACTCACTTTCTCGATCTCGTTTTCATTCTATTCATTTCACAGCGATCATCTCGGACGGAAAAATCACTGATCACTCGATCACTGCTATAGCATTCCCTCTTGCTTCAGTCCTCAACATTTCCAGCAATGCATATACATTCACAGCAGTTTATGTATCTTCGTGCTTTCAACTATAATTAAAGTGTAAAAATTTTATTATGTATGTATATGTGTGTATATGAATTTATGTACATTTTAGAGTGTACTGAAACATATATAAAATAAATACACGATTATTAACTATCCGTGTTTTTGCTAAATTTACGATTTGTTTTAGATTGGTTAACTTTTTACCTTTCAATTAAAAAAAAATGCACCTATCAACGTTTGTTATTCCATCAAGTTGATAATAATTGGATCAATTATTTGCTAAATTTAAACTGCATTGGGTCGCGATACATCCGGAAAATGATTAAAACCTGTTTCAAGTACCAAATAATCTAGTTTGTTTACTGCAAACTGTGCTATATAAAGAAATAAGAGAAATGTTTTTTGTTCCAAAAGATGCTGAAGCATAATGCCAGAATTTTTGAACTTCGATTGTTTGTAATTTGAATGGCTTTTATTGAAAATGAAGGCATTTTAAATGTAGGCGTCAAATGCATTTCCTGAGCATTCCGCATTTCCGAGACCTAGTTACACTTTTTTAAGCATTTTTTTTTCAGCATTTTTTTTTGTTTATTTTTTTAATTATTCAAATTTGATTCAGTGTTGTAATTTGAAGACTTGGTCAACCAACTGGAAGCGGATTCCGCTGAAAATAGCTGTCAAAGAGAAGAGTCCTAGAGCAATAAAATGAATTCTTCCTAAACAACTCTTTATAATAATACAAGATTCATATAAAATATAAACATAGATGTTTGAGTGCGATGTTCTTTGTCGTTATGACATTATGAAGTAAACTTTAAAAATGATGAGAAATATAAGTGGTACAAATTACTAATAAGTTTCTGACTTTTGAAAAATAGAAATTAGAAATAAAGGTAAACTACAAAACTGTTTTAAGTGATCGCCGCCAAGTCTTTGCTTCTAAAATTTCCAGGACAAACATCCTAACCCACACAGTTTGTACCTTCGTCTTAAGACTAATTTCCCGGAAGTTCAGTAACAAGTCTGACAATTGATAAATCGATCTGCTTTAGTCCTCATATGAACTGAAACGTCAAACCGAATTAACGGTACTGCATAATGCATGAGCATATACATCTGTATACCTTCCGCTGCTTAATAGTTGGCGTTCCAAAAATGTCCCCATATCAATCCTCGTATTTATTTTTTGTCACGGTCCACTGTTATATCAGTGTATACACGCTGATAAATGAGCTATGACCTTATCCTTGAGTACAATATCATACCTCATAACTACGAAAGTGTTCTAAGTGATCGGCATCAAGCTTTTGTTTCCAAACCACGACAAACACTCTGATCCACATAGTTTGTACTTCCATCTTTTGATGAAAATTATTGTTTCTTATATATATATATATATGAATTCACAAAAAAGTGTTTTGACAATTCAGTAAGTCCTGACAAAACGTTTACAAGTACGCAACTTGGAAGAATAGGAAAAAAATTAATCCTGAATGAAATGAAATTTGTGACACTATTGAAAACATCTCGGAAAATGACAAATGACAGGATGTACAGATGACCCATTGTAGCATTTGTCTGCTATATGTCATACTCAAAACATTTTCAATGGTTTTGTAAAATTCTCTTCAATAAGCACTTTTTCACTGATGTTTTTGGCATGAAAAAAAAGTTTTATACGCGACTAAACATTTATTGTGCGTTTAACGCTGAGATCAAATAAACTGTGATCTATATTAACAAGGGATTAAAAGCAGCTTCTTGACAAAACTAAGCAAGGCTTGACGAAATCTTTGAATGAGAAACGTGCGATTGATCACATGGCTATCACTGACTACGATATATTTTTTACAAGCTACGAAATGAAACATTATTAATCAGCGTATGTTACATTAAATTCAGAAAGCGCCAAATGGGCCATAAATCATTTCACAGTAATGACAAAACTATCGTTGTTAGCATTATTGACTGTAGATAAGAGTAGTATGATGACAGAATCAGTTAGGCGAAGCACCATCACGCTGAATTTCACGGAATTTCGTTTCTAAAACATGAAATCTCAAAATAGATCTAAGGTCAATTAACGTGGATGAAAGATCGAATACAAGAAGTCTACGCAAAAAGTGCCAGGTCACTTACCCAGAGTGGTAACATAACGTTCCAAAACATTAGCAGCCTCTTCCAATCTTCTTGTATTTTCATCAATTTCATCGATCTGTTGCAAATATGGACGTAACGACTCATCTGCAAAAAAATTTAATGTCTCTGTAAAGTCCTAGAAATAAAAAAAAAGAAATTTCTTCGATAACCTCAAACAACTACTGAGATACAACAAAGGATTACATCTAGAATTCAGTTGTACGAGCTTCTCTGCTACACCACTTGCCACCTGCTTCATGTCATCGTAACGTTGACTTGTAGCATTATTCATGTTCTTCAAAAGCTTATATTCCGCAATGGTATCTAAAACCCATAAAAAGTGTTAGTATAAGCTTATTTAAATTTATAGCTTCTGGACAATACATTCATCTCCGTAACTGATACCTTCGATTTGTCCTTGAAGATATGCTGCAACTTTATTATACATATTGTCCGCTAATTGTTGCATATGTGTCGTTACAGTCATCGAATCAGGAGTTGGCGGGATGTCTGCACTGGTTGAAACTCGTTCATTAATCATTTTTGCCATACCTCCTACAATTCAGTAATCAGAAATCTCAAACTTGCTTATTCAAATTCATCCAACGAGTAGTATGGTTAGTCACTGGGAGGAAATCTATAATAACTTAAAGCATCTTTCCACAACCGAAACAGATTCCATCTCGAGAACCAATCCCAATGACAGTAAACGAAACCACTGTTGAAAGGAGCCTTTCCAGGTTCCTTTAAAACAACACTGACCGAATTTCACGATTCATTTTGAAGCAAAAATAACAACTAGTAAATCATGATTCCGAAAGTTAAAGCTAAGTTTCTTTTTCTTTGTATTCCGAGCTAATGCATATTATTGTATTCATCTAAGAATAATATAAAATGTTATAAATGAGGGGAAAATGATTCAACTACAAGACTTCATTTTTTTATGCGACTATTACTGTCAAAGGTAACACTAAAATAATCACCACAGGAAGTTTATAAATCAAACTTAAAAATACAAAAGAACACAAAAGAACATGGGTTGAAATAACCAGGGAGATGGAAAGGATAAAAAAATAAAAATAATGGTTAAAATATTACATTCATAATGCAAATAAATCTGCTGCCCGAACAGTAGCTGATATAATGCCTTCATCATCAGGCAGCATTGACTATTCAATTATTTATGGTATAAATCAAATTACAATATAATAAATGTAGTAATGTGCTGAAAATTAGTACGGAACCAGTGACTAAAGTGAACAAAGTGATACTGCATGATTATGCAGATTTTATATAACAGAAGCACAGAACAAACAGGAAAAGAAAACATGTCATTGAAATCTAACAGAACATCACAGATTAACAATTTCTAGAAAATTATGAACTTTATGTTACAATAACCTAGATTAATCACATTGAATAACAACTCCAGCTTCAAAACAAACAACGCATAGAATGCCGAAAAAAAAAAAGAAAATCAAACACAGAGAGAAAATGAAACCAAATTTTGGCAAGTATGCCCGTATCATTTCATACTTTTTTGGAAATCTGTAGGTATTTCCAAGAAACCAGTGATATGTTCCATGAATAGCGCTGTAAAACAAAAACAATGTAAAATGACATTTCCATATTTGTTCTGACAAGCTTACTTATTTATTTTTTTTATTTAGAAATCATGTAACGGAAGATTAGGAAGCCGTAATTTGATTGGATTTCTTCTTAGTGTATCCTGACGACTATTTATCACGGCGGTAATTTGACATCCTGAAAATGAATTCCAAATGCATTTTCTTCCTTTCAGTTGTACATTATTATCGAAGATTTCTACTATAAGAGCTAATACCCTTGAAATAAATTTGACAATTTTAAAATTTTCGAAGCTTCCCACTCCTCATAAACGTGCAGAATAAGATTAATTACCTGAAACTGCCTCTGAATAACTGCGGTTCTTATGTTCCACGAAACTTTCCTTTCCACCAGGTTGAAATTGATTGGTAGTCAAAATCCATCGCAACTTTTTCTTCGGAATTTCTTCATGTTCAGGTTTTTTCGAAAACTGAACACTTCCATTAAGTACTTTCACCTTAGCATACTTTTCTTCAGTAAGAGCCTTCACTTCATCAGCCTTTGGGAGTGCAGCACTAGCAATGGGAGGAAGTATTGCAGGATTTTTTGGAACGATATCTGACTTGACCTTATTACACTCCATTCTATGAACCGAATTCTCAAAATTTACTTTTTTTTTTTTTTTTGCATCGTTGTCCAATAACTGGGTCTTGATTTGATACGACCGTTTGATAACGACACCACTGATTCCACTAGATCTTTTCAATAGATCTTCCTTTCTATAGGAATTAGGATAAGGCACATACGTCTTCCTTGAATAAAGTAATGATGGTCCAACCCTGGTCTGCAGAGAACTTCGACGACTTCGTGAAGACATAAAAAGTGAAATACGCTCCATACGATCCCGTCGTCCCGATAATTCATGGTGTTTCACTAGCTCTTGACGACGGTATCGCGAATATTCATTGTCCACCACATGATGACTTGCTTCACGATGTGCATGCACTACTGATCGTTCTCTACTTGATGCGAATGGAGAAAATTTTCTTAATGGTCGTTTCGAGTCTGAAATACCACTCATGTTGCGTAAAGACAGTCTCGCCATCATGAGACATGCAATAAAAAAAAAAAAAAGTTTATAACAACTTTTAAAACTGAAACTTTTAGGATTAAAGAATTAACGCACCGCAAAACAAACCTATTACGACAATGAACATTCAATTACAAAATAACCGAATGAAGTTCGTATGAACAGATATACTTACTGAACATTTAGAATTTTATTGTGAATGATAATAAACCGGCTTATGCGACACTCCTAACTCATCTCATGAATATAACCACCCAGCCCCATGAATGGTTCAGATCCAAAAAACGATTTAAATTTCAAAATCGTTTTCTTCTTTCTTGCCATCTAAAAAAGATTTCTGTCGTCTTTTAGGTTTTTTTCTCTGAAACTATCGGCCAAGACTTGACGAACATTCAGTAACAGGAGAGTATGTTGGCACCTTGACAATGCCATTTTCGTTGGTTTGCAGTATTTTCAAGAGATCGGTAAACTGTATTGTCCTCTTCTTCATACTTCGAAATCACCAGTCTTTTTCGAATTTAATCGAGTACCGCTTTGATATAGAAAATTAGAGCGATTTGGAACACTCCGTCATCCACATTTGAGACAGTATAGAAATGAAATTTCAACTACATCGTGATATTCGTGGCATTTCTTTTCACAAAGATTGAAAGGGAATGGACTACAAACATTCCCATTTCCAATTTTTCTATTTCATAAATTCTTTATTCATTACTCATCCATTCCTTCTTCAACTCATCCCAGAATGGAAATCAAGACACTCTTCGGTGTTATGTTTTGACAGACTCGAATCTTTTATAGACCAATCTATTTCTCGAAAAATAAAAACTTTCCGTTAATATGATTCCATATACCGCTGATTTTTGCACTAACAACGCGTCTTCTGCGTAACGACAATAATAACATCTTCCATCCATCAAGAAGATCTTCTAAACCAACAAAAGTTCATCCTTTGCTATTTGCACTCTTTGCATTCTTCCTTAGTTTCACAATCCAGTATTGTGTTAAGAAGAAAAGCTTCCATATGTTCCTTGAATTAATAATCCTTTAACCTTTACCAATCTTTGTCTTTTTCCATATCCATCTGTTGATGCATATTCCTTGATTTTTTCATCAGCAAAAACTAGAATAGTAATTTTCATATGCTTAAAACTATACGAATCAATTTTTCCTCATTTTCAGTTTCGTCTGCCGGATCTTTTAAAAACAATCCCACAATTTTACTTGGGAGTCGACTGTGAAATAGCATTTTTCGTACTTTCAAAACAACCGAAGAAAACTGAGTAGAATCATGTCGCTGAAATAAACTACGGAGCACATATAATAGTGCAACATTTTTCCAATGTGGTGGCGAAAATAATACAGTTGACGAATAATTGTAGAATGGATTTCCAAAGATGCAGCGACCATATACCATCAAGCTTATCTGGAGTCTTGCTGTGATGAGATGATCCATTGCTGTTACAATATGGTTGTGTATCCCATCTGTTGGTCCTCTTTTCCATTTCCATTGCATTCCATTCCTTCCACTGATCCTGTTGTGAGTCATCTTTTGCCTCAGTTACGTCCGCGTCCAAGCTTGCTGCTAATCGTACGGCTTCCTCATCAACATCGCCGGAAAGATAAGGCCAATCTTCATCATCACCATATATTTGTAGAGCCATTGATGATGTTAAGCTTACATGATTAACATCGACCCTATAAATTAATCTTTTATTTTCTTTCCTATAATGATTCCATAATAAACATCAGCATGTGACACTAAAAATTAACTAGTTCGAGAAAATTCCAGAAAAAAGCAAGCAATGCGGTAGCATTGCAGCATAATACCAATATCTAATCCAGTTAATTTAAATTCAATTAATTAGACATTCGTCACCTATTCTCTCCCTTTCCTGGTGAGTGGTTTCCTGACTCTGAGAAATCAGTGTCATCTCCTTCGCCTGAAAATCAAATTTTGTTTTTAGCAGTATTGGAAAAGACTAAAGAAATATACAAAAGTGGGTTCAGACTACAACACAAGAAACATAAACAGATACTAGAAATATTCTTACAGCTATCAACTTCTAAAAAATTTCTGTCGATAGTAAGTTCATCCGTATTTCCCACTCTACTAGATTTTGCATCTCCATAAAAGTCGTTCCGTGTCACATCAGACGTTTTCTCATGAAAACAATATCTAGGAGACATTTGTCTGACACCAGAAAAGCGACATCGTGGAATATTATCATGCTTCTTGCGGTGATTTGCACATGATTCTGATTGCATCCCAGAATGATGAGTTTTTTGTTTGGTCTCTAGTAAATTTTCGCTCTAAAATACAAATAGTCAAAGGATTATTTTTCACCACTGAAGAAAAAATAGGAAGATAAAGCTAATGGTTTAAAGCTTCAGTATAACATCAGTCAATTAATACAATACAGATTATAAGCTAATATATTGTAACTCGAATAAAAAAAAAGGACCGCACCGTGCTAGATTCCAGCGATTCTCCTTCTTCATCAAGACAAATTAAATCATCAAAGAGCTCTTCCTGTAAATACGCATGCGGCACACATAACATACAAAATCTAGAAGGGATGAATAACAAGTATTAATTGGTGATAGATGCTGCAAAAGTGCACTACTACCTTGCAAATCATTAATTTAGAAAATAAATAAAAAGTACCATTCTAAAGTTGAAAGAACTTCATCCCAGTTATTAGACGACTTCCGGACACAGCTTACAGGACCGTATCACTGTAACAAATCATAATCCAAGCAAAAACAATCCAAACACGAGCCTTCACGGCAAGCATGAAGAAATTTGGCCGCATTACCATTCAAATATCTTTTTAAGGTAGCATCAGTCATTCATAAACTATCACTTGTCTACATAACTACGGTACATGTAAACACATATTTCAAAATCAGGATCGAATAAATGCAAAAACCCGTATCATAAATTACTCCTCCCATAAATTAAACACTAAGACGGAGTTTTGCGAAATGATAAAGATTTGATAAAGATTGATAAAGATTATCATGTGAAATGATAAGAAGGATAGATATGACCGCGAATAGAAGTTTAGAAATTGTTTCACGGAACGGCATGCAGTCATCCATAACATACAAACTTGTATAAATATAAAATGAAAGCATTATTAATTAAACAAGCATTAGTTAAAGGATAATATAAAACTTGAACACATAAGAAAGTACATTAATTGGATTGCTGCCTGGAAAAATTTGTCTATTTCCTATTCTTCTGAAACAACAAAATCATCATATATGAAACTTCAGCAAAAGATGAGTCCAAAATTTCTCAGAAGAGTTCCAAGATAATTTATCTAAGTGTTGGCAAAGTTAGATGTACTAAGTTTAGAATGACTTCGATTTTGTAAGTTTCATTCTGCTCCTTCCAAGTGTCCAATCCTTACAGTTTGCTTACAAAAAATTACAGAAAAGAAAAACTGCATTCCCTGCAAACCAACCCATCCGAAACTTTGTCCATAAATGGAGGGCAGAAACTGCGTACCGTAGACAACGGAGACACATGTTAACAGCGGAAAACACCAATGCCAAAACTGTTTCTATTTAAATCTACCATGCTTAAATGCCCATACATGTGTTTTACACGTATCTTGTGCAAACCGCATCTCATACGGCAGCCTACGGACTTACGAACTGAGGAAATTTTTTGTTTTCCGACAACACCCACACATGGCAAAAGCAAAGTTCAATCAACAGTTTCTTGTTTTTTCACACGCTCCGCGATATCTAAGATCAAACCAAAGTATTGTGGACTGCATACTGCTAAAACAAAAAATCATCCTGTGGAGTGCATAAGGATCAGAACAATTAAGGAAAAAATAGCAAAGTCCAGGTAAACATCTGATGGAAATTCCTGTTGGGTATCGTCAATAACTTACGTTAGGGTTGAAAAAAATTTATTTAACAAATAAAACATAGAATGTTACCACAGTGGTATTGCCGATATAGAACAGAAATCATCCTGCTAAAAATATATTCGCTACATAACCATTTATAGATAGAAGCATGACGAAAAACTACAAGAACAACAAGAATGTTTAAAGACCTAATTAGTACTTTTTTATGAATCATTGTTGAAAATATGCTAGAACATTTCAATACGACTATGACAAAAACCGTAAATGTTGTTGGGTGGGCAGTGCACAACAAAAAAGATTGTCAGACAACAAACTGCCGATTTGAAAAGAAATAGCATAGAAGTCGGTATTTGCATAATTATCATAAGCGCAGTTACACAATATAAGTATATTAATAAAACACTTAGAAATTTGAAGTCAAAATTTCAATCAATTCCGTTGACCGAGTTTTCACCAACACTTACATATTAAAAAACAAAGATCGTTATCTGGTAGATGCCGAGATCATAAATCCACATTGCATTTTTCAGCAGCTTTTTTCTACGTATGTAACCACACTGGACCCAGTGGTGGTGCCTTCATCTTACTGAAATCTAAACGCTTATCGAGATCCTCATCCAGTTCACCAATCACTGCTCTGAAAAAAAAAAAATCACAGATAGTAATGAACACGAATTACATCAGTATGATCTGATTCCAGGATCGAGTGTTTCCACACTCCGAAATTTTGAGTTGATCCAGTTTCCATCATCATTTCCGGAATAACTACATTCCCTTATGCAAACGCTAAGACGATTTATTTAGAGTATCAACAAATCATTATGTTTTCAATCATCATATTAACCAAGTACGCTCTTCGGATCACCTTTCGAAAAAATAAGACTCAGAGGGGTGCTCCGTTTTCACAATGTCAAAAAGCAAAAGTGGTGGTCGATGTCGTAATTGAGGGACATCAAACGAGAGAGCAAAACACAAATAAAGCTTCCCCGAAAACTGACAACTTGACCGTACATAAACTTTATTATTGTTACGATGACATGGAAATATGACTACTACCTACACAAGTAACTTTTTCTTTCCACAAGTAGTAATTACAACTAACACATTATCGCCTCTGACAATATATAAACCAAGCGGAATTTGTTCAACGCCCGAGTCTTCACTAAAAACACGTTCATGTGAATCTTCCAGTACCAGGTTGATCGTCTGATCGAAGCCTTTCATCAAGCCGACTATATTTCGGCCATCACCAGTAATCACCGAAATTACTTTGTTGATGAACGAATCCAATGTCTGTGTCATACTAAAATCTGACCAAAGAGGCAGAACCAAATGAACTGCGAAATGGCACAACAGCGAAGAAGTGAGGAACACTAACCTAATTACAATATAGTTGTAGCTCAGTAAACCGATAAACAATTTAATTGCAATTTCTCAAAACCTTTTAGATGGCTTCCGTTCAAAAGCTAATATGCTTTCGACACAAGAGAAAATTAAATATTTCAAACAGGCATTTAAGAACTAGCATTGGAAATGATTCCCCCACATTGAGAAAACGGAGATCATCCTCAAAACATCAAAGCAAATTTTCACACTTCAACACATCCCAACTTCAAGTGACGGGCGAGCTGACTTCCCCACTGATAAAAAAACTGCAATATCCACAGTCCTGTAGTACACGAAAGACTGAAATAATCAATAGGAATCATAAATGCTAAGAAATATGAGTACAGCTGAGTCAGAGCTTCTCAACCAGAATTCCGACCATAAATTGCACATATGTGCGTCTCTCATCCCTTTCATTTAAGATAGCTTTACCACAACCATTTTCTTGAAATGTTTACAGAAAATTACTGAGCAGTCCATCTGGAGCCGCAAGCCGAACCAAGAGTGATAGTCACTGCCCGAAGACATTGCTGTGAGGATTAATAACCTCCGTTAAGAGTAAACAATAAAAGGACTAAATATAACTCTACAACTTTCAATTTATCCAACACCAATTTGCTCCACAACTGACAACGTTAGTAACCATGTTTCACACTATCGACTTTAGGAACAATGAAAGTGTCTCAAAATGAAGCGTTAACGCAAGCAACCAAAATGAATTTATAGAGATAAGTGGAAATATATCCTGGTACAATATAATCTCATTTAAAAAATTACTCAAAAGAATATGCTTCAACAATCCACACACACACACACATACATACATACATACACACACACACACACACACACACACACACACACACACACACAAGGATTCAGACAGACAAGCATGCACCCACACACATCCTCAAACACACACACAGCATACGTACATCTTACACTTTGCGACATGTTAGAACATCGCTGAAGGCGTACAATTCTGCTTCGGATAAAGTGGAACAAAACTTACGAAACAATGCAAAAAAAAGCAATATTGAAAAGTAAACAACACGGGGAGTAGGAGGAGAAAGAATACATCACGTAATGGGGATAACAACGATGAGAGTAAAGAGTACAAGGAAAAATAATGGAAAAAGTTGCTGGACTGAATTCCAAGGGTAAGATGGGAGGAAATACTAAAAGCGGCAAGGAGTAGAATAAAACAGGAGAAAATAAGGCGTAATCAAAATGTTTCACATCATAATATGAAATCAACGTATTGTTGCCTCTTTGTTAACAAATCTCTGGATCTGAGTTAAAAAATAGTGAAACAAGAACTTGATGCATAAATCATTTCAGTGTGCTAATACAATATTTTAATCAAAATTATAGGACAACTCCACCATATCTTTTCAAAATCCCACTCTATTTCCTTACCGAAAAAGCGAAGAAACGCTGCATATTAAACTACAGAACGACAAAAACGCTCAGAGCGAAACAAAAAGCATCAAGCACCTTGAGCATGTGAACAATAAACTGCGCACCGGCCTTTAAGCCATTCTTAAATTTAACACTCACATATTCAGTGAAAAAACTGTAGAATAAATTTAAACAAAAAGCTGGGGCTTCAACTAAATCGAGTGTTTAACAGAAACTGGACAGTCCATTTTCCTCGGGAATACAAAAGCAAACCAAATACACCAACAGTTCTGTTCCATGACAAAAGAAAACATAAGAATGGAAAAGAAATGACAAATGGGAAAAGGGAAAAGAGGTAAGGGAGATGAAAAATGCCTGAAGTAATCCAGTAATAAAAAAAAACTGTACCGCGAGGGCATAGTCAACATTTCCCTGTGGCTACTATACTGATCTCATACTAACACCAGACCAAACACTGGTAGTTCCTAAAATCTTGGAATTTTAAATTTTGGCTTTTCGAAACCTAACGTTCGGCTACGGCACGTCATCTTTTTTGTAATTTTAAATTCATGTCAAAAAAAGAAGGGGCAATTAATTCAAAAAATAAAAACAACACAACGCAACTAAATATAAAACATAAAGTGGAAAACTAGAAAACAGGATGCACGCACTTATTTTCTCACTCAAAAATATTCTAAATAAGAAACCGAAATTTCAGGATAGGAAACTAGCTAACTGCTCAAAAAACAAATAAAAAAATAATTGACTGACAAATACAGAGATGTTGCGAATTGTTGAAGGCATCGTTGACTGGGTATGCATTTAATCAATGTAAAAAAACTTAAATTTCTGAGAAACAAGATGCAGAAATTCACAACGATACAATACGGTTTAGTACAACACATAAGCAGCGTACATTAACGCTTTGCAGTGTTAAGATGACTTTGAGAGGTAATACGAGAGACTCGAAGGTTTCTGAAACAAAACTGAAATA